GAAAATCCTTCATTGCAAATTTGTGGATTGCGCTGTACTGTTGAGCATTACGGTGCAGCCCATAGAGCACCATCAGCACTCTCAATTTGTGAGTCGCAAGTCGATCCGTGGCACGACGCTAACGAGAATTCCCTTCTATCGAATGAAAGTGAGCTTTCATTGGTCGAAATTGGTCTTGTGTTCGACGAATTTGAACTTGCGTTTCCGAATTCATAAATTTCCTTTTTACGAATTTGAACTTTCGTTTTCGACCGGTCAACGAAATTCTAACTTTCATTTCGAATTTGGACTTTCACTTCGCGAAAAACTCCTTTCACTCGTCGAAAATCAAATCTCATTCATCTAATTTATTCTTTCAATTGTTGAATTTGAGATTGAAAAGGTGTAGTAGCTTGTCAATCCCAAACTCATCGCGAAATTGGTTTATTACAAGCAGAAGAGGTTATTGCAAGCAGGGACTGCGAGAGCCATGCACAGCTTGTTATTCCAAGCAGCGCGGTGTGCTTGGGATTACAAGTAACTATTGTGACTTGCTTCGCCGATAATATAAAATCTGTTACATACTGCGTCAACTTTATGTTTTCGTTGTCAAATGGAGCACAATCAAGGCACATTCGTGCTCTGTCCTTCAAAGCAGCAACACCAGGTATATCCCTCAATCAACTCGGAGCTGAACAGTATCCGCATATATCATGAAACAGTTTTTACATTAATTTCGCAACGGGATGTTCTTTTAGGAATGGCAGTTGACATGAAGAAGTATTGATATCCGTTATCATCGTATTGACGGGTACACTAATACCCAGGTCACAAGCTGCAGACTTTGGGGTCCAATTCATACAAATCACCAGTGATCAGCCACTCAGACTTCGATTGTTGTACGAAGTTTGTGAATCTGACGAAACCATTCGCTTAATCTAGACTACAAGTCGAGTTTGAAGGTGAAAACCTCTCCATCGCGAGCCTGAATACGCTCTTCCAACTGCATCGCTCTCTCATCAGCCACCCGGGCTGCTTGTTTCTGTACCTCGGCATCATCTTCCGCTTGCTGTCGAGCTTGTAATTCTGATTTATGAGCCTATAATGTGAAAAGCATGGGCATGCGATAGCTGTCTGATACCATCTCACGTTGAGAGCCTGTATCAGGTTACAGCGAGTCTTTTCGAGCTCCTTGCTTGTATAGTCGCACCTGAACCACCTCATCGCTCGTGCTGAAGCAGGATAGATCACCTCATCATAGTACATTCCAAGTCGGCTATTAACATAGCGATCCCTTCATATTATGAAGTTCATAAGCAATCGAGTCTTTCCACTCAACAACAGCTATGGGACTCTCATCTAACACTGCCTAAAGGATCAAATGAATACCCTACTAAATAACTACAGCTCGAGCACCTGCACACAGACCGCAGTTCCGGTGGATTGCTCCGCTTGGATGCCATCCTCGAGTTTCTTACCATCCCTAATGAGATTGAGACACTCCTAAGCCTCATGGTGTTCCCATTACAACCGAGAGATTTCTCCCTGAAGTCTCTGCAACTCCGCTCTGGTAGCCTCATGTTCTTCTTTCTATGTTGTGATAAAGATCACGATTTTAGTACAGTGGTTTCCCTACCTGCCGAGCATTCATGCGCTTGCGACGCTCTCCTCTCTTGTTGCCCATCAAATCGGAGAAGCACGATGATTCGGACACCAGGCTCACGGAACAAAAATATTAGCGGATCCGGAAACTCAACGTAACAGTACTTGTACCACATACATGAAACATGTTGACTTGAAAACACAGACTTCATATTGGTCTACCTAAACTCCTCGCTAAGTACCTCTTGCTAAGTCTGCGGTGACCTCAAGGTCGACACCCGACCATCAAAGGAGAGCCCTCGGCACACTCGCTTGCTACTTCGAGATCTACTCCCGTCAGCGACACAATTACAATCGAAAGCTGGGAAAACAAAAAAATGGGGAGCAAACTCTCGGTAAGCCGTCGATGTGCTCAAAGCTGACACCCAGTAATACTAGGGAAAGCCCTTGGCACACTCGCTTCCTACTCCGAGGTTCACCTCTAGCAGTGAAAACAAAAAAATGGGGAGCAAACTCTCGGTAAGCCGTCGATGTGCTCAAGGCTGACACCCAGTAATACTAGGGAAAGCCCTTGGCACACTCGCTTCCTACTCCGAGGTTCACCTCTAGCAGTGAAAAAAAAATGGGGAGCAAACTCTCGGTAAGCCGTCGATGTGCTCAAAGCTGACACCCAGTAATACTAGGGAAAGCCCTTGGCACACTCGCTTCCTACTCCGAGGTCTACATCTCCGCCGCATGTCTGCAACTGATGAACAATCTGGCGGTGAGATTGCGCGCGCCCCGCTAATCGATTAGGTTTTCACTCGAATGAAAAATATGACGCGAGTGTGCTGGACCGGGCCTGGGTGCGTGAATATGAGTTTGCGTTCAAGAAGATGAGTTTGCGTGCAAGGCCTTATCCAGCGGCTTCACCTCGTGTTATCAAGAGTCTGATCGATCGAGTATAACTGTGCTATAGTTCTATCATTATCTGAGTTATCTCAGTTCTTCTTCGTTTATTTATCTTCGTTCGGTTCGGTTAGAAGATCGGTTCTATCGACCTTCGGCTTAACTGTCTTGACTTACCTCCGTCTTATATTTGTGGTATCGATCGACAGTAACTAAATACCCTACAACTGGCTAGGGCCACTACCGTATCACTAAGTTAGCTGGTATACTACGAGAGCTGGAGTCGAGTTGGCTTATCTAGTTATAGCAGTGAGATATCGATTTTGGTACACGAGTTCGACTCTCCCTCGAATAGCTTTTCCTTGGCAGCCAGTGTGACCCGCCTTGTCATTGTTACTTATCGATTGGCAAGACTAGCAACCGAACTGTTTGAGTGCCTTCCGTATATTGGGTGACACTGCTCGTCATTGAACGGCCGATAGATACCTGAGACATCATGCCTCAATGACCATAACACATTTCATTCTGTAATAAAAACATGCACCCTGTGTCAAGAAGCCAAGCTGGACCCTTTACCTTACAAAGAAAAAAACAACGACGATTCTTGCTAGTAGCAAGTCGCTACCACTTGGATTGGCGTCTGGAACTTCCGAACCGAAGCTCTCACAGAAGTTTCGGACGAGAATCACGTAATATGCGTATCACATATCAATAATATAATATTGTGTAGAACGAACTTAGATGACTGATCGATAATTGGTGGTAGTACTATCATAACTAATATCAGCGCGCCACTGCGAGTACAATCCCCTCACATCTTGGCTCGCCTGGGGATGTGGGTACGTTTTCCAGATCCCAACATCCCCAACATCCCCAACGTCCTATATTCAATAACCATTAGTTCGCACCTAGAACATTGAGTTACGTAGTTAACTCTTTCCGATTCTCCGAAAGTGCGTTACTTGGAGTGATATGAGAAGGGTCATACTGCTAGAAAACGTAGAATATCTTTGCGCTTTGATTTTTCTCTTCGCTCGCTTCGCTCGCGAAGCCCTTTCCCATTCTTGGTATATCCCCCATGCGCTATAGCGAGCTTGAGATAACAAGGTCTGCTTGATATTACAGGACTTGCTTGTTTTAACAATGACTGCTTGGATTAGCCCTGCCACGCCAGACAATGAGTATTAATAGTATCATGGGTCATGCCTTGACCTCAAAATATTGTACATGATGGAAGCCTCGAAGATTCTCATGACAACAAAACCCGGGCCGTATCCTTTCAACTCACCTGAACCTTATTTTTCGAACCACATCTTTCCAGTAGTTGAACTCCAAGAATGTGACATACCGTGTAACCTTCATATGATGCTTTGTACACTGCAAGTACTTTATATTGAACCAATATCGCAACAGGGTACATACCATTTCAGACTGTAATGGTACCTTGTAATTTATAGTATCGGCATTACTGTGCGAAAGTCACAACATCAACTCACGACTCCCTCATGGCTTGGTCAATCTGGAAAACACAGGAAGGACGACAACGTCAGATTCCTCAACATCGGAATCAGAAGAGTGACAGCAGAGAATGGCGTGCGACACAACCAATATAACCTCATCGAATCCTTCTATAGCAGATTCAATTATAAGATCACTCTTATGCCGAACCTAGAGGGCTAGACCTGTTTATCACTGAGGCTGGAAGTAAGACGGAGTAATCATTTTTGTTCTCGAGAATCTTTAAAGCCTCAGAATCAGAATCCGAATCTGGAAAGCCCACGTAAGCGCAAATGTTGAGAACGCATATTGCTTCCGATATATTGAATTTTGATTATGCCAGCTCAGAAAAGTGACTTGATGGATTAGCTGCCAACTATTTGAGTGGAACGTATAGTGCCGCAGGTCTTTTGGAAGCAGCAGCGCAGTGATGGAGCCTCTTTACTCCTCCCGAATCGTTGTACAGAATAAAACTGTGCCCGGCACTTCACGATTGCTGGGGAGCGCCGGTCTCATCTCATTGGGAAAAATGAACGACGACGAACCCCCTCTCAGCAGGTGTGATACAAGCAACATTATGTTGCTTGTATCACATCGCAGAGAATAACATGCGACTGCATCAGAGCTTCTCTCAGAAACTTGTGATGCTGAAAACCTGAGGGATACACATCCGCAATGACCTGGGTTAGTCGAGCGGCTCGACTCGAGCCCTCTATTGGATGGAAAGCGCATCCAAGCGTTCCTAGTTGTCCAGTGATCGGCAACGCCAGTAATGAGAGTATCTGGCTGGTATTGACTGGCAACTGGAGCCAATATCGCCTCGACAGTGTTGAGCCATTGAATTACCACGTGCGGGTACGGGTACGGGTATCTGATCCAATCGTGGAAGATTTCGACCGGACTTCTTTGATCTTAATCTTTTTTCAATAATCGCCTAGACATAACGAGTGCTCCCAACGAAGTGCCGACAACTAGCGAACAGACGATAGCCACTCTGAACAGAGGAGATGTCGTTCCGTATCTCGCCCGCCTCCGCCTGCCGTCTGATTCTCGAGTGGCCTCTAATTCCGCTCGAATGGCCTCTAATTCCGCTCGACTGGTGTCGAGGTTCGCTGGTATGGGTGCGCGGAGGTGATACGGTGGCAGCCACCGGGTGGCTGGTTTCATCCTGAGACAGGCCTGATCGGCAGAGTCGGCAAGTCATCCACTCTGGTCACCAGAGTCTGGTGTACAGCGAGACAGCCACCGGTAGCACGTGCGTGTAGCGGTAGCGCGTGATCGATCGGCCTGCTCAATAAATGGATGCTGAGAATCCACTCGGATGAAATTAGAATGAAACCACGCCAAACTAAAGAGAACAGGATGACTGTGTGTTAAGGGTTGTGTATCTCACTCACTGTCCGGAGGTTCGCTTGAAATGTCCATCAAACGATTAATCCCCATCGCCGCAGCTGCCGTAGTGACGATGTCGTCCAAACCACTCGATGGTCTCGCCGCCCGTGAAAAACATGATTATGTAAGTCACACTGAGGCAATCTAGTGGAAGTGGGGGATGTTCGACTTTTCCTCATCCCTATAACACCACCCGTTTTGGGGCTCCGGCCAGGCAGCAGCCTCGAGTGTTCTTTCCAACCTCTCAGAGCTTCCCTCCACTGAAGAACGCGACCACCGACTGCTGCTTCTTTTCCAACATGAAGCTCACTTACGACAGGCAATCGGTCAGAATAATCGTTGAACCGGACTTCACCCTGCGGACCATGTACATTGCCTGCCCAAGAACAGAGAAATGGGAGGCTTTTCAAGCCGACTTGTAGGCTCGCGCTGGGAAGCATTGATATTCTCAGCAGCATGTTTTCAGTTTGAACCCCGGAGCCCTCAGTCGATTCTACCCGTCTGGCCACGCGTTGTGGCCGATTTTGTACAAGAAAGCGGCCGATTTCGAAGAGTATCAGGACGGTCGCGTCAAGGATCCTCTCGGAAAAAAACTTCGTGTGAAGACTTCTGGACTCAAGCGGAAGGTTCCGACAGAAGTTTGCAAGGCGGTGATGAACGAGTTGAAGAAGAAATACGGCACATACATGGCAATGTGTGCTCGTTTTCGTCGTGCAATCGTGGGTCCTGACCGTCCACGTTGAGACTTCCCTCTTGAAATCGTGGATCTGCTAAGTGCAGACTTCTGTCCCCGGAGCAGCAGCGCATCTCTTGGTTGAGGCTGAGCATGTTTGTGCAAGTTGTTGCTGTGCGTAGTGATTCAGTTGTTGTGTGCTACAACATCGATACAATCGCGTCTCGTTTCGATTCGGCCTCGCATCCGGGACCACCAGAGGGTGTGTTCGGAACACAAGCCAAAGACCTTCAGAGAGCGTCAGAGACTGCGCAGTATCTAAGTCGCCTAACCTCTCGTATCTGGTACTGAAAGTGTCCCGTCCCAATCCGCTTTTCATTGCTGGATTGACTGATTCAATCCAGTGGATTCTATTCGAAAAGGTACACTTACTTTCTACACGTCGCCTCGTCATCCCGTTTTTTTCTTACGACAGGTGGATTCCTAGGAGCCTGTTGGGCGTTTTGAGTAGAGGTGCCGCTACTCAATACCCAGGGCAGCTGAAGGTTCGTCGATGGGCCTCCCATACGACACTACATTGGTTAGAGGCAGCGACCAGATAGAGTTGGGCTGGAAGATCTCCCCCATGCTTA